GGGATTACAGGGGTAGAGCCACCATGCCCAGCCGAGATAGTTTTAATAAATGAGGGACACACAAAGGTTGAAAGAAAAAGGGTGGAAATAATTATGTATACTGGACTAATTTTTTTAAAGCTGGGGTAACTATTTTACATCATACAAAATAGACTTTAAGGCAAAAGGCATTACTGCAGAGAGTCACTACATATTAATAAGAAATTAAAGTCACTAGGAAAATATAGAAATTTTAAACTTATATGTACTTTTGTATATCAAATACTTAAAAATTTAAAATGATAATCATTACTTCAAGAATTTGACAAACCTATCACAGTGGCAGTTTTTAACATATTTCTTTTAATAACATATTAAGAAAATTCATAGAGAATGTTTGAGCAATACAGTCAATCAGCTCTAACTAATCTGCATGTAGCATATGATACCCTGCAAACTGTATTCTTTTCAACTGCTCATGGAACACTTACGAAATTTCACTATGTCCATAAAGCAAACCTCAACAAATTAGTATACAGACCAAATTCTCTGACTATAGTGCAAGTTTTTCTCCTAATATACTTGGAGACAGAAGTATTTTTTAAACAACTCAGGAGTTGCTCATACTGGAAAGAGTATTTTACATATTTTAGTTCTTGAAGGGTGGTTACATTAATATAGTGTGCTATATATGACAACTGTGTTTGTTAGAACATCTCAGTTCTCCCACCATTCAGGGTAATTGAGTTTATTCTGCCTTGTCTGTATGCATCAGAACTTTTGAATACTGTTTCATTGTTTTCTATGTATAATCTCTCCAAAAGCAAATTTGGGTAATACCTTCAAAAACAACTCAACGATTCACAAAATAATCCACCTGAGAAAATTTTCTAAATCACATCCTATCAATTTCAAAATCATGTCTAATACTTATGAAGAGTTAAATTAGTTATGAACAATTTGTGTAACTATGGAAACATGAGAGAAACAGTTTCCTGGAAGAATAAAACTTCAGCAATAGAAAACTTTATGGAACTAGCTGAAATTAGCCCACAAAAGAACATTATCTTTAAATCCTTACTAACGTTGAGTAAATTACTATTAAGCTATAGAAATATTTGAGTGGGCCTCTTTGTGTTAAGGGTTGAATACCTTAAAGATAAAGGAGGGGTAGGAATAGCAGAAGTTCTCAAAGTAATCTTTTATTTAAAATGTCAGAAAATTAAAATATGTCACATAAGTCTGCAAAATAGAGATAACAGTGTTTTATTTGCATACCCAGAGAATGCTGAAGACTCAAACCGCAATAGGACTAATAAAGGGATTTGGTAAGATGACAACATACAAGGAAAAAATCTGTAAGGCAATAGCTTTCATGTTTACCAGCAGTAATCAATTAATAATACATACACACACAAGATGTTTATTGCGACTTTATTACAAATAGGGAAAATGTGGGTTATAACCTGGCTGTATGTCAAGTTATAAGTCATATAATGCAATATGCAGTTTTGAAAAAAAATGAGTTATATTCATATATTGACCTAAAAATACTTATGATATATATATGAGTGGAAAAAAGCCAATAGCAAAAATATATATACACTATAATCTCATTTTTATTAAAAGAGAAAGAGAAGTCCGGGTGCGGTGGTTCATGCCTGTAATCCCAGGACTTTGGGAGGCTGAGGTGGGTGGATCTCTTGAGTCCAGGAGTTCGAGACCAGCCTGACCAACATAGTGAAACCCCATCTCTACTAAAAATACAAAAATTAGCTGGGCGTGTTGGCGCATGCCTGTAATCCCAGCTACTCAGGAGGCTGAGACAGGAGAATACCTTGAAACTGGGAGGCGGAGGTTGCAGTAAGCTGAGATTGTGCCAGTGCACTCCAGCTTGGGCAACAGAATAAGACTCCATCTCAAAAAAAAAATAAAAAAGAGAGAAAGAGAATATTAATATACACATAATAAGGATTACTTTGAGATATATTTTTATGCAAATCCACTTAATATCAATATCAATGCCTACAATAAAATATCCAACAGCCAAAATTAAAAGCAGGAAGATAAACCCAAAGCATAATGACTAAAATGGAAAGAAGTAAAGCAGAATTACATTCCATAAAACATTTGCAACGCAAAACAAAGCCACAAAAATGCTTCTCCTAAATAAGAAATACCAGATGCTAAAAAAAAAAAAAGGAAAAAATTTAATTTTAGGAAGAATGCACTACAATTTTAGTATCATAGACTAGTTAAATATATTAGTGGAAACAGAAAAGCAATGGATGCTTCAGTAAGTAAGGTGTGAAATCCAATAATGGAAAACACATTTCTCTAAACTCCTAACACTTCTGACACCAAATGTGTGGGTTTTCCACACTAAGCAATTTTCCAGTTCTCTATGGACACCAATAGGGTGTCCTACAATTTAATTTTGATACTACTGGCCCAAAGTTAGCACAGCCCTCACAGGTTAAGGGCTCAGTGCCACAAGAGTGTCCCCACTTCAGTTGGCATTCGCCAAGTTCAGACTTCCCGTACTTCTGACCAACTAGCTATAATAGATCAGGGGTTCCAAAACCCCTTCCTCAGATATGATTATTTGCTAGAATGGCACACAGAACTCAGGAAGGCACTTAGGTTTACTAGTCTATTGTAAAGGATAAAACTCAAAATCAGCCAAGAGGAAGAGATGCATAGGGCATGGTTTGTGGGAGAAGCACAGAGATTCCATGCCTTCTCATGTGCACAACCCTCCAGCACCTTCGTATATTTACCAACCAGGAAGTCCTCTGAACATTTTTGGCCAGAGTTTTTATGAAGTGTCATTAAGTAGGCATAATTGGTTAAATCACTGGCCATTGATAGGTGACCTCCAGCTTCCCTCCCCTTTCTCATGGGTCGGGGATATGAGGCTGAATGTTCCAATCCTTTAATCATACGCTTGGTTCTCCTGGCAATCAGCTCCCCCATCCTCAGAGCTTTCCAAAAGTTGCCTCATTAACATAAACTCAGATGTAGGTGAAAGGGGCGTGTTATGAAAAACAAAAGATGTTCCTTTTACCTTAATCATTTTAGAGCTTTTTCAGGAACTGGGGACAAAACCCAAATATTATAACAAAAGATGCCACTATCATCTTTCAGAAAGTTACAAGGGTTTTAGGAGCTCTGTGCTAGGAAGGGGGATCAAGGAGACAAGATGTATATTTCTTATGTCACACCATTTTTAAAAAAATAAGGATGAAATAGACAACTGCGCAAGAAAAAGTTATTGACCTAGAAAACAGACTCAGAGACCTAAGCTGAAAATCTGTTCAATGCCAAATTTTAAATATGAAAATTTATAGACAATGATGTAATACAGCAGAGCTAGCAAATAAATGGCTCCTCCTCACTCCTCTCCTCCCCACCCAACCCTCTCTCACAACAGTCATCAGTAATTTTGCCTGCAATCTTTTCCTCTGAGCCAAGACAAGACCAGAAGGTTCTTAACCTAGCATTTTGGGCAGCCTCTATCCAATGCTTATAGTTGCAAAGTAAGATTAAAATAATTTGCTTCTATAGAGACAATTACATCATCCAAAAATAATGGGAAAAAGTGAAAGAAAATAACTTATCGTTTTTTTAGTAGGAGAGGATCCAAGATAAGAATTCAGCCTAAAAATGGATAAGGCACACACAAGGTCTCTTCAAGATGTAAGAAGAAGACATTTAGATATATTCTTGTTAAATCCCTGAACTTTAGAGATAGAGATGGCTTGAAACAACTAAGGAAAACATTTCAGGCCATCACAGGTAAGAATAGCTTGAGATTATCCTACTGAGGTGCTTAAAAAAAATTCACAAATCCACAGAACCTGCATAAATTCTCCATTGGGCAACTTTATCTTCAAAGAATGACTCAAGGGGCATTGGCTTAGATAAACCACAGTTATTTAAAAATAAATAATGTAAGCATTAGGAGAAATATTGATACATAGTAAAATTTAATTTGTTTGTATAGCAGCCCTTATAAATTAGAAAAGATATTTTAAATGTGTGCAGTTCTGTCAATCTTAAATGAATTAGAACCAATTAGGTGAGTTCTAGTAGTAGACAACCAATTTCCTGTTAATGAGTCCAAAGTTGTTTTTTTCTTTGTAATAGATTAAAATATGAATTTAGATTACTAAAATGATTAGACTGAGTTTTTCCTTTAAGTATTAAGGTGCTATGTCATTGCATAAAAAAACCATTGATTTTAAAACACACCATTATATAAGTACCACTCAGAAAGTGAAAAATCACTTTAAGCTATTACTCAATGCTTTCTTGTTGCTGATTTTTATTTTATACTTTTTGAAGGTGCTCATGTAGGCTTATTGAGACATGTAGGTAATCATACTATGAAGAGCTATGAGCAAGTTCACGCCTATGGAAACAATGATAACTCTTAGACCTTCCACCTAGCTGGCAGCCATTGTAGGATGCCAGTAAGACACAACCTGACTTTAGGGATGTTAAAGTGTGAAAAATATGTGCCTTAGAATTGATTAAATATGACACATTAAGTAAGTTACCTTCCAGGTGGGTTTAAATGGAAAGAAGCTACTTAAAACAGATAAATATGATTGGATGTGACACAGACTGTACTACAGGAATGTACAAAATGCCTTGACTCACTCTACAGAGAAGGTTTTCTAGTCGGAGCACAGAGATGTCCCTGGAGAAGGTAGAATTGAAAAGGAGAAAACTCCAGAATGATAGAGTTCAAATATGACAGGCTAGGTAAAATGCCCCTGGGATCTGGGGATTCAAGTCATGATCACCAGACTCTTACAGTACTGATGCTGCTGGTGCCACCATAAGGTGATGAGGGGACAGCAGTGTCCCTCTGCTGGTAGGCATCCAGTATCTATTGTTGCGAGAGTGCATGCATGCATGAGTGCATGAGAGACCGAATAAGTGAGTAAGTGCATGCGGTAGGGTTGTCCAGGGCCCAGCATAACAGCTGTTCTCTTTTCCCTTGTCACCCTCAGAGAAACTGGAGAGCGAGAAGCTAAATGTGGCTGAGGTCACCCAGTCAGAGATTGCTCAGAAGCAAAAACTGCAGACTGTCCTGGAGAAGATCAATGAAACCCTGAAACTTCCTCCCAGAAGCATCAAGTGGAATGTGGATTGTGAGTTGAACAAAGGAAAGGGGCACCATTAAACAATGCCTGTGGTCCCTGCCATGGGGCTTCCCCAAGAAGCCATCCATAAGCTTGGCAGGCTTCGGGGCAGGGGGGCCAAACTCATTTATCTTTGAACAAGATGCTCCGCTTCCTTAGAACTTGGAAGAAGTTCCGTACGTACCCTTGGGGGAAAATAACAAAATGTCAAAATCTCACGTTCCTCTTCTGTAAAAGGCTTTCCATAGAAACCTCATGTGAAATGGCAAAGGGAAGGAAACTCATTCACTGAGCTACTTTCTTCTAAGTCCCAGCTCAGCCTTTTGAGAAAGCTGTTGTCTGCAGCTTGGAGAGGCTTGGAAAACTGAGGTCCCCACATCCACACAGCTGAGAAGCAGGGAGCAAGGATTCAGCTCTGTCTATTGCAAAGCCCACACCTTTCTAACCCCCCTTCATTTTCTAGAAAGAGCAAAGATATGGCTGAGATCATAGGCACTGGAACAAGATGTTAAAATTCAGTTTTTTACAGCTAGCATAGCTCAGAGACCTCAGAAAGCATACATTGTTAGTTTATAATAATTATTAGTTTATAAATTATTAGTTCATTTGCTGCTTCAAAGGCCTGGTGTCTAATACAGACTTAATGAGTCCCTATCAGAATTAATCAGGATTAGGTGAATCTAGCAATAACAACTGGATTCCAAAGTTTATTGTAATAGATAAGAATAGGAACTTAGATTAATAAAAGATTAGATTAGACTGTGTTTTGCCTTTAGGTACTAAGAGGTTAAGTACTATGCTTTATTGCGTCTAACTTATACAACTTAAAATCAACAGCCCCCTACGAAAAAAAAAAAGAGAAAAAACCTTTCAAACTTGGGAAAGAAAAAGGCATCTTCACCTCTAAAGTTAGAAACCCAGTAACTGCCAGTCACAATCTCTCCAGCAGGTCTCTAACATCTGACATTGGGGCTGAGACACCAAGTGCCTCCTCAACATAATTACACATTTTCGTGCACAGCGTGATGAGCTACTTTGCACAGCAGTGTGACGCTGGGAACAGGGCACAGGGCATTCTCTGCCCGCAGAGGGAGACACCTGAGGGCAGGAGGAGGGAGGCCTGCTCTGGGCCCTAGATGCTATCAAGGAGAGGGGCTGTTTCCCTGTGTTCCAGGAATGCTAGTATTGTCAATGGGGGAGAACAAGGCAGCGCAGGAAGGTTGATGACTAGTTTGAGAAATGTGTCTGCATTTTAAAAATCCATAGTAGTCATAAACATTAGAGAAGTCCTCTAATGAAGACTGCTGCTTAGTTTGGTTTGATCCTATCTCTTACTCCTTTGAATATGGACCACCTCCCTGTACCCCTCCAAAAAAAAATAAGTCAAACATCATTTAACTTATCATGGCACCCAATCTGGGAAAGGCTGAGATAGAAGAACAGAGTCTTTTATTATTATTATTATTATTATTATTATTATTATTATTTTTGTAGAGAGTCTCTCTGTTGCCCAGGCTGGAGTGCAGTGGCGCGACCTCGGCTCACTGCAACCTCCACCTCCCAGGTTCAAGCGATTCTCATGCCTCAGCCTCCCGAGTAGCTAGGATTACAGGCGTGTGCCACCATGCTCAGCTAATTTCTTTTGTATTTTACTAGCTATGGGGTTTCACCATGTTGCCCAGGCAGGTCTCGAACTCCTGAGCTCAGGCAATCCACCTGCCTCGGCCTCCCAGATTGCCAGAATTACAGGCACGAGCCACCACGCCACACCTGGCCTAGAACAGGGTCTTTTAAAGCCACATGAAGAACATTGTCTCCAGCGGCTTTGAATGATTTGTTTGGTTTATGCTTACTTTAATTTCTTACAGGGAAATGTGTGCAAGAAAAATCATCACTCGTATTACCATGCTAATCTAACTGTTTTCATTTGTTTGTTTCATTTCACTTGTTTCATTTGTTACTAGTTACATCACTGCATCATTTTGCTTGGTCAGGTCATATACACTTTTTTTTTTTTTTTTTTTTTTTTGAGACAGAGTCTTGCTGTGTTGCCCAGGCTGAAGTGAAGTGGCACGATCTCGGCTCACTGCAACCTCTGCCTCCCGGGTTCAAGCAATTCTCCTGCCTCAGCCTCCTTAGTAGCTGGGATTACAGGGGTGCCCCACTACGGCCACCTAATTTTTGTATTTTTAGTAGAGACGGGAATTCGCCATGGTCAGGCTGGTCTCAAAGTCCTGACCTCAGGTGATCCACCCGCCTCGGCCTCCCAAAGTGCCAGGATTACAGGCATGAGCCACTGCACCCGGCCCAAGTCATAATACACTTTTGTGTTTTGTTATTTTTCTCTTGATCTTACATCACACGTATTTTCTACATTCCCTCATGGTCTTTGTAGTTAAAATTTTTGATAGTTGTTTCTATTTCATAGGGTAGATATCCCATAGTTAACTTAAATCCTAGGTTGATGTTGATGCCTATCCTTTTAGGATGTTTCCCTAACTATTTCTAATATCAGATAGCACCAAACTGAATGTCTTAGCTTGGTGCCTCTTTTTTGCTTCTCTTGAATTACTCCCCTTAGATAGATTTCCAGAACTGAGATGGATTACTAGGTCAGAGGGAATAATTATCTCATGTAGGTGGCTAGCTCCCTGTGATGCCTTGGGGCTTTTGAAGAGCTGGGCTTGTTTACAAAGTCACAGTGGCTGCTTCCATAAGGAATGTGGCAGGCACAACTCCTGGGGGAAAAGTTCTGTCTCCTCCTGTCTCGGTTACCTTCCCTGGATGTAAACCTGAGGACACTGTGGCACCTCTCCGCTTAGGATGAGGGTGGCAGGGACAGGCTGCTGAGTTACCAAGGTCCTTGATCTGGGGCTTTAGGGATTTCTTCTTCTTTTTTTTTTTTTTTTCTAATTCACAACAGTAATTTTCATTATTGAAAATTTACAAAGTACAGATAAAATAAATTTAAATATTTACATTTAACATTTATTATGCTTATTGTATGTCTTGTACTCTTCTAAACACTTTATGTATTTTAATCTTTGTAATCTTCACTCACCCATCTGAAGTAAGAATTCTTTTATTCCCATGTTACAGATGGGAAAATCAGGGGAAAGAGAGGTTAAGAAACTATGAAGGTAACCTTCATGAGGGCAGGGACTTTTGTCTTTTCACTGCCCACCTAGAGACAAGAACCACGAACACTGTGCTGTGTTCAAGTTCTGTGTGTGTCTGTACATGTGTAATAAGTAGTATATAATATTTTATATATGTATATATAAAAAACTTTTAACAAAAATGAGATCAACCTGTTTATGTTGTTTGGAAGATGTATATATTGACAGATCATTAAATATTCTTCTATATGTCACTTTTAATACTATATAATGTGACATTATATGGATCTACCACAATTTATTTAACTGATAATGGATTTTTAGATTGTTTTCCATTTTCCCACTGATATTAATACAGCTGGATGCATTCACCCTGCTTGTAGCCATAATTACTTCTTTAGGATAAATACCCAAGAGTGGTATTTTAGGGCCAAAGGGTGGGAGCATTTTTAAAGTCATAATACATAATGTTAAATTACCTCCAGAAAAATTACACCAATTTCTGTTTCCACCACAGGACATGTCTGGAAGACTATTTCTAACTCGACAGCCTTGTTTTAAATACTGCTTTCCCGCCCTAGAGTGACACTTAGCCTTGCAGCTGCGGTTCCTGGCTTGCATAGTGAGGCCTAGGTGCTTGCTCTTATCCCGTATGTTGCCCTCCTGACTTGACTGCAGGCACATGTTGGCCTCAGCTTCTGTTGAGCACCAGGGAAAAATTTCCCAGGAGCTGTGTTGAGAGGCAGCAATGATGAGGGTGCACAGATGTTCAACAGTGGGTAGACTGTTTTAATTGAAAAAATGGCATATTTTTATTCTAAAGAATATTTCAAAATAGGAAAAAAGGCTGGGCACTGTGGCTCACACCTGTAATCCCAGCACTTTGGAAGGCCAAGGTGGGTGGATCACCTGAGGTCAGGACTTTGAGACCAGCCTGGCCAAATGGCAAAACCCCATCTCTACTAAAAAATACAAAAATTAGCCCAGCATGGTGGCACATACCTGTAATCCCAGGTACTCGGGAGACTGAGGCAGGAGATTCACTTGAACCCGGGAGGTGGAGCTTGCAGTGAGCCAAGATTGTGCCAGTGCACTCCAGCCTGGGTGACAGAATGAGACTCCGTCTCAAAAAAAAGAAAAAAGAGGGGAAAAAAAAAAAAAACTATCAGGCTGGGCACAGTGGCTCACACCTGTAATCCCAGCACTTCGGGAGGCCAAGGTGGGTGGATCACCTGAGGTCAAGAGTTTGAGACTAGCCTGGCCAACATGGTGAAACTCTGTCTCTACTAAAAGCACAAAAATTAGCCAGGCATGGTGGCACGTACCTATAATCCCAGCTACTCGGGAGGCTGAGTCGGGAGAATCCCTTGAACCCGGGAAGTGTTGGTTGCAGTGAGCTGAGATCCAGTCATTGCACTCCAACCTGGGCGACAAGAGCAAAACTCCACCGCCCCCCCCAAAAAAAACTATCTTTCCACTCTAGCATAACTATTTTCATTTTTTAAAATATATTCCTTTCCAAATCCCACATTTGTGTGCGTATATGTAGATATATATACATTTGTATATGCTTTTATGTATGCATATATCCATAAATGTATATTTATAGCTATGTATATTACATGCATATACACATGTATATAGATATATAGACATATATACACATACACACATATATATAGGTATACTGTCTTACCTATGATTTTCAATGCATGTAAACTATTCATTGTGTGGACATACCATAACTTCTTAAAGCAGTAGTTATTCAACTATGGTTGGTCCAAAACTAGAGATTTGCAAGGAGAAACTCTAGCATCACCAAGGAGAAGACAAGAAGTCATGGGTAGGCTGTAGGCTGCAGTTAGGACTCCAGAATCCTCACTTTAACCAGAGCAGTTGTACTTTTTTCATGAGTTTTAACTATCTGCTTCTAGAACAAAGGATTTCTGTGCTTAATATTAAAAAGTTTGAAAAATGCTGATCTAAACCATCCTCTTGTTATTGGACATAGTGTTTTCCAGGGTTTTAAAAAATTATAGTATATTACACAGTAACATCTTAGTACACGTAGTGTAGTATGTATGTGTGTGAGACTATAGACTCTTTCCTTCTTAAAAATTCCCAGGAGGATAGAGCATTCATTGAACAAGTCTGACGTCTATATGATGCTTACGATATAGCTCTGCATTGCTCACCAAGACAGTGGAGATGGTGTACAATGTCACCAGGGGATAAGAACAACTTGTTTGATCACAACTTTTCTAGCATTATGTTTTGCCATTAAAGGGGAGAGGGGTAGCAAATGTTCTTACAACCCTCACTGACACCAGGTAGTGGGCCGGTAGTTCTGATCATTAGAGCAAACCTGGATTGGCCTCTGATGGTGACCACACCATGTCAGTGGGTCACAGTGGGTCAGTGCCACATCAGGATCTTTGTTTGAGGCTGTAAGTCTGAGTAAAACTTAGCTAACAAGGCCCGAAAGCCCAAAATTGAAACCTTCTGGAAGGCTAGGAGTTCAGAGCAGTTCAGCTTCTGTTTGTGGTGATGGTGAGCTGCTGTTCATAATCAGTAGAAAACCTTCTTTGAAGTAGCAGTGATAACAAGAAACCCTAATGAGTTACAAAGGAATGTCTGAATCATTCTCTTTTCTTAGTGGTTTCTCAAAGCTTCTGCTAAAGCAGACTCACTGATCCCAGGGAAGACAGAATGACATCCTAATAATGGGCCTAGTGCATGCAAAGTACACAAAATAGGCATTTTTTTTGTTATTCCCTTAAATGCCCCCTGTAATGAAGAGCCATGAAGCTGGTAGGACTGTGAAGGCAGGCAAAATATCTGGTGAATCTTGCCTTTGATGAGAAAGAAAGGGAAGAAAGCTGGCATGTTTTAGTTGCCTAGGTGCCAGGTAATTTCACATAAGGTATAATAAAAAAATATCAGCCATCCCTGGGCACGTGCTGTGTTCCAGGAGCATCAGAGAGAAAACTCCCAGGAGACATGTTGAGAGGCAGGAATGATAGGGGCGCACAAATGTTCAACAGTGGCTAGAATTTGTTTTAACTGAAAAGATGGCAGATTTTTATTCTAAAGAATATTTTGAAATAGGAAAAAAATTAAGACTATCCACTCCAGTGTAACTATTTTCATTTTTTTTTTTTTAATGAAATGTTTTGGGAAATCATTACAACCTGTACGTCCACATAGGTTCTGTTACTTCCATTTGTAAATATGAGCAAATTAAGGCTCAGAGGCCTTCGGTGGCCTAGCCTACCCAAGGCCATGTAGCCAGTAAATAAATGGTAGATTATAAAGTTAGAATTCAGGCTCCAGTCTGCCTGACCCTCTGTGCACCTCACTGAGTCTTTTTCTCCTCATCTAGTGAGAAAACTACAACCCAGTGTGACCCAGCCTTCTCTGGTGTAAATGGCTTGACTTTAACATGACTCAGCAGCTTTGGCAGCGCCCTGGCTCAGTAACATCCCGTCCCAGCTGCTCCTTAAAGGGCATTGCCTACAGTGACCATAGTGACACTCACGGAAGTAACATAGCCCTTTAAATGTCTCTCTCATGCCTTCTTCCAAGGATCTTAAAACCCTGAACCAAGGAAGAGACCTAGTGTTCCTGACTCAGAGTTTATTTATTAAGGGCCTGCTTTGTGTACAATCTTGAGACAAGTGTAGTAGTGATAATCCAAAGTTCATGGTTAAGTGGGAAGGGAAAAGGAGTGCAGAGCAGACATGCTTATGGTGATTGGAGTGGAGTGGGCAGGGACATGGGACTGGGCGAGAGCTGATCTGAGCTCAGAACTCAGCAGTTGTCAGGGTCCTGATGGGAACCTGGGATTAGAGGGGTGCTACATTGGAAATGTGGCAATAATAGACCCAAGAAGGAGCCCCATGGGACCTGGCAAAGAACTGAGGGAGCCAGGCATGGTGGCACATCCCTGTAGTCCCAGCTACTCCACAAAGGCCAAGGCGGGAGGATTGCTTGAGCCTAGGAGTTCAAGGCTGCAGTGAGCTAGGATTGTGCCACTGCACTCCAGCCTAAGCAACAGAGCAAGACCCTGCTTCAAAAGTAAGAAAGATTTGAGGGGGCCCAGAGTGAGGCCTGTGATGACCACAGGTGTCCCCTGACCCTCAGGCATGGTATAAAGGGACATTGGGTGGATATATTAGGCTGCTCATGTATTGCCATTAAGAAAGGCATGAGACTGGGTAATTTATAAATAAAAGAGGTTTAATTGGCCAGCATCTGCATGGCTTCTAGGGAGGCCTCAGGGACCTGTAACTCATGGCAGAAGGCAAAGTGGGAACAGGCACTTAATATGGCAAAAGCAGGAGCAAGAGAGAGAGTGGGCGGCGGGAAGGTGCCATATACTTTTCAACCACCAAATCACATGTGAGAGTACAAGTGTACTTATCACCAAGGGGATGGCACTAAGCCATTCATGAGGGATCCACCCCCACGATCCAAATACCTCCCACCAGGCCCCACCTCCAACACTGGGGATTACATTTCAGCATGAGATTTGGGCAGGGACAAATATCCAAACTCTATCAGTGGGGTACTGCTACACTTTGAACATCTGCTTATATTGCGTAGAACCTAGAAGAAGATACTGTAATTTTTCAATCTTCTTTCATTTCAGCTGTTCATGCCAAGAGCCTGGTGGCCATCTTACACCTGCTTGTTGCTCTGTCTCAGTATTTCCGGGCACCAATTCGACTCCCAGACCATGTTTCCATCCAAGTGGTTGTGGTCCAGGTAAGACAGATAACACTACAAACATCTGTGTCTTTAAAGAGTCGTAGAGGTGGAGTTCCTGTGGTGCGTCGAGTGGGTCATTAGAAGGATGGCTGCATGAAGGCTGAGTGAGCCTGGGTGTGCAGTATATTGGGAGGCACTGAGTGAGCTTTCTGTTGCGTGTTGGCTTCCCCTGGTAAGTGTATACAAGATGGAAGAGCGTGTGCTTGTGTATAGATAGCTTTGTGTGGGGTATGTGCCTATGGCTTATGTGTTTTTGTCTGTGAGTTTTCTGCGTAACGTGTAGTTGAGGGTGTGTGGTATGTATGTGTGCTGTGTGTCATGGGGTCAGGAGGAAAGTGTGTGTGTGTGTGTGTGTGTGTGTGTGTACAGGAGTGTACAGGTGCCCTGCAAATCATGGAGAATCATACTATTTTGGTTAAACAAATGATACTTAGGTATGGGGAGAAAGATATCTGTGCATATGAGGGAGTGTGTGTGTACATATGCATGTGTTTGAGAGAGACCCCAACTGGTCATGTCTGTATTGAAGGCACTGCCACTTTTCACCCACCCACAGAAGCACAGCTGGGATCTCAAGTCATCTTTTCCAGATTGTTGGATGGAATTTCCATTCACATATGGCTGTGTAATTTCCACAATGAGGGTGTGCTCTCTCCCTGTGACTATCTCACTCTGCTCCTAACCCCATTAAATACCCAAATTCAATTTTATTTTCCAACTTTATACCCATTTAGCAAAAGGTCATCCTTTTGTTTGCTTGTTTCTGTTCTTTTCCAAATAAACATGCAGCGAGGGAGAGTGCTCCATCTAAGCAGCTCCCTGGCGATCCAGGCTCTGGAATAGGGAATGATAACAGTGGCTGTGCCATCCCTTGGTAAGAAAAAGCCTTGAGGGCTGGTAGACTTTGCCCGATCAGATCAGGCCAGATTAACGGATTTGTTTCTTCCACACCTCTGGGTACTTAACTCCACTAAGCATCAAGAAGGTATAACAGGAATATGACACCTCGGCCCTGCCTGCTGAGGAGATAGGACTACAAATAAGAAGCAGAGAGGGCTCATAGAAAATGGGAATATGTGTGGCTCAGATACTGACTGCCACTGGCCAAAAGGTCCTAATTGTCCTTGTTATTGAGCTCTTCAGTTGTATCAAACATGGCACTAAGCATTTTATGTCTGCTATGGATATGTGGCCAACTCAGAGTACTCTGGTTCAAGCATCTTCCTAGTGAGTCCAGGTCATCTCTATCGTGTTATTTTTACCAATCAGTAATGCGTGAATACAATTCTTTATGTTTTTAAGAAGTACAATTAGGGAGGCAGGGATGAATAGGTGAACATGGTCCCTATAGGTGGGAGCACAGAGAGTTTTAGGTACATGTCACTGTACATTTGTCAAAACCAATAGAATGGACAGCACCAAGAGTGAACCCTAATGTCAACTATAGACTTTGGGTGATAGTGACAACCATATGAATTATAAGTTCATCAGTTGTTAAAAGTGCATCATTCTGGTGTAGGATGTTGAAAGTGGGTGAGGCCATGTATGTGTCAGGGCAGGGAATATATAGGAAATCTCTGGAAATGTCTGTACCTTCCTCTCAATATTGCTGTGAACCTCAGACTGCTCTGGAAAATATAGTCTTTTTTTTTTTTAAATCAGGGTTCCTGGAACAGTTCATGAAAGAATACTTTAAAAGTGACCATGTATCACTAACATTGAAATTTAAAAAAATTATTTTCATAAGTAAACATACTGTTGTTATATTCATTTATACTAGCTCTCTTATCACTAGAGGAGATAAATACTTTTATTTAAATTGCCCTTCTTTATCTTCTCTTTTGTGACAAATCCAGTCCAGTTCTTTGTGCATAAATTTGTTGAACATCTTAAGACTTTTCTTATCTGCTAGAATAAACAGCCTCTAACAGAAATAATAAAATCTGCCTGTTGGAATTACTACAGACTGAACAACAATTGAAAATGTGAGCAGGAGAGAGGGCGCTTCTATTTTGAAACAGTGGTCATTGCAAGCCTTGTCTCCTGCCTTATTTTGAGCACAATTATAGGCCATCAGAAGGCTGTTGTCGGTTTAATTTCTCCTGTAGGCTGTTTTGTTAGCATGAGGGAGAAAAGAGGACATGTTCCATAAAATGGCATTAATGCACGTCAGGTTTTATGGGGTGTTTTTGCTTTATCAAGTTGAACAGGCACAGAAGCAAGACTCAGAATTGGTGGTGAGTCACAGACTGAACCACAGGGAGAACTCTTTAGGGAACAAATAACGGGTGGAGGTGAATCACGATGCTGTGTGAGGGGTTATTTAACCCAGATTTCTTTCCCATTCTATGCAGAAGCATTTAATTTTGCATAAAGTTGGAGGTGAGGTTTTATCTCTGAATGGCGATGCAGGACAAGGACACAGATTCCATTAGCCCCACATGAAAACATTGCCTGTGTTGAAAGTGCATGTGGAAAGAAGTCCTGATTTATCTTCACCTGGTCCTCTTAAATGATTGGTTTTTTTTTTTTCTTTTACCTCCTTTTTTTGTTTTGATCAGTCCATTCTTAATCTAAGCCAGATAGATTCTTGGCCTTATCCAGCTCTTCCTTTCTTCTGTAAAAGTATTTTGCAAGGACGCTGGGTTCTGTGGCTGTTTGTGGAACTTTGGGCAGGAGGCTGGAGAAGGCAGGGCTCAGGTGAGCCACCCATGTGCAGAGGCTCCTTCCTTCTTCACACTCATCTCAGCCTTGGGGAAGGTGCATTTGCTTTGTCAGTGCTTGCAGTGTCACAGCATCCTCCAGGTGTCTGGTGCTGGTGGTAGAGGGACCTAGTAGGATGAATCTCCCACCTCACACCCATCAGAAAGTCTTCCCGAACCCCAACATTACCTCCTTCATCAGCTCCCATGCCCACACAGTGCTATTTAAACCCTCCAAACTGGCACCCAGAGCTGCCCCAACTGGTGGCGGCCGCCCTCCCCCGGAGGGCCTCTGGAACACATTTGTGCATCCTGCCTCTGCCTCTTGGCTGGGGCCATTCCTCCCATTGAAATAACCCCTTCTCAGTGCCCAGCTCCAGCGCCCCCTCCACTTGGAAGGTTTCTCTGACCATTCTAGCTAAAAGTGCTTGCTCCTGGCCTACGTTCAGCACCTTCTGCAGAGGGTGACCACGTAATCTATTATTCATGACACTTTTGAGATGAAAGTGAATCTTACTAATATGCTGGGACATCAGGGGGATAAACCAGGACTGTTTTGGGGAAACCATTCAGGTGTCTGCTTCATCTACCCCGATTGACTCTAAGCTCTTCAAGGGCAGAAACTATATCATATACTCCATAGTATTTGTTCTAACTCCAGCACAGGGCCTTGTACACAGAAGGCACTGATTAATGAACTAAACAAGAAAGAGGATAAGTTGATGGGAGAAGGGTGGACAGATGATAGATGGATGGACGGATGGACAGATGGTTGGATGGATGGATGGACGGATGAGTTTCTAACATACTTAACCTTTTCTCAGAGAATAAGCTAGTTACCTGAGTGACAACTGTATTCCTTATTTAAAAGCTCCCATACTTATCAGTTAAAGGAAAAAAAAAAAAAAACCCTCTCTCTTGTCTGAATTCCCTGAGTTGGCCTCAGTTCCTCCACCCAGCCCCCCAGTTAAATGTGTTTCTCAGCTTCCCTCTGTGGCCCCAGCTGGAGGGCAGACACACCCTGGCCTTCATTTCCATTTGGTTTATTGTGGATTACTCCAGGAGGCAAACAGTTTGCTTCCAGCAGAATGTCTTCCAATAAAGAAAGGAAAGATTCACCATCCAAGAAACAGCCTACTTGTTTGGACTAAACACTAATTGCACTTGCGTCCTAATGGTTCAGTCCAGTCCCAGAAAATCAGGACCTCCTTTCACTTCCAGCATTATCTTATCTCGGGTACATTTCTTAAACACCAGTAACTTTCTCAATGTCAGGAATGCTCATCAGTGTTTCTGTATTTTTCTAAAGCATAGTTTTCTCTTCTCCTCCCAACCCCTTTCCCCACCCCCATTTCAGAAACGAGAAGGAATCCTCCAGTCTCGGCAAATCCAAGAGGAAATAACTGGTAACACAGAGTATGTCAACACCATTGTTGCCAGCGATTCTGTAATGGAACACAGATGTTTCTCCGAAATTCATCCATTTGCTGATATTTAGTTTTCATTTATTGGGATTGCAGGAGGGATTAGACTTCAGCCAATGATTATAGTTTAGCCTTTTCCATGCATTCAAAACATGCCTCTCAATGCTTAAGGTACAAACTTGGGTGGGGAAGTGGGGAGAGGGAATTAGCAGTGATTGAAAAATTCTAATTTTGTGCCACTCCAGGAAAAAGTGTGCCCAAAAAAAGCCAACCCAGCATGAAATCGTCATGCCATAAACACTGAGTTGAATTTAAATTGTTAACCTTCAAAAGGACGTTTTTCTTCCTTTTTTGAATCGATTTATTTGGTCACGTGCCATGACCCAGAAAGCCTCTCTACCTTAGAGTTGTCTTTTGGTTTAGGGTGGTTTTTTTCCCCATTTATTTTTAGAAATTGGGATATTAGAACCTATCAAAAGTTTGCCCTGGGGAACAGGAGTTTTGTCCTCAAGCAGAAAAAAATGGATAGTGTGAGATAAGTTTGTGATCACAAGAACTGAGCCCTGGCCCATGCAAAGCCAGGCAGTTAGCTTTCAGCACCCCTGCTCCCCAGACTTTTCTCTGAGGCCCCCTTCAACAAGAGCAGCGTAGTGCAAAGAGCAGAGGCTGCAAAGCCAACCCAACTTGAGTTCAAATCCAGGCTCTGCCACTTGCTCACCAGGTGAGTCCCTTAACCTCTCTGACCTCAGTTTCCCCACCCAGAGAGGTAGGGAGGATTTATTGTGGTCACAGTTGTGACTTCGTTCCTTTACCCTCTGAAGCTGCTGTTCCAGCTTTTCTCCAGCACAACTGACCCTTAACTCCCAAGCCCATCCAGTCTCTAGGAGGTTCCCGCCCTCTCCACAGCCATGGCTGCCACAGGAGTCCGGGGCACTGCCCATCTAGATCACATTGTGTACATGGCTTAACAAGGACTAAGGCGCATGGGCATTCCAGGCCAAGACTGGGGCAAGAGATGTAGCGTGGCCTTTCCCAAGATGCCCTGTTTATGGCCGATGGAGACCCCATCAAGCAGCCTCTGTATACCTCAGAGGCCAGTCTTGGTAGCCAAAGGGTCAACTGATCTATAGGGCATACCTTCGCCTTGGTTCTGTGAGGGATGGGAGGAGCCAGGCCTGCTGGGAAAGGAGAATTCCTCACTGTCTCACTGCCCACCACCCCTCCCCCATGCTGGGCTTGCCTGTGCCCACTATTTCACCTCTGGGAAAGAAGACGACAGAGCAGAGAGGAGCATGGCCTGGGAGAAACTCCCAAACCAGGGAGTGTGAAGTTTCAGATTATTGAATAATCTCTCGGATGCATGTTATGCTTTCTATGGCCCCTTTCTCTGCCCCAAAGACATAAACATGGATGCAATGTCCTAATAATGACAACACAGTACAATTTATGGGGCACTTTCCTATCTATTGATGTTCATAGTAAACACATGAAGCCATGATTACACCCACTAAAACCCTACAGCCCAAGGGTGTGGAAGGAGACTGTGCCCTTGGTTTACCCAGCACTTAACTCCAAGTTCATTCTTCTTTCCAGTGCACTGCTTGCATGTGCTCACTTAGTGGGTGACAGGTGTGCAGATGGATAAACCAATATAATAATCATTATGAGAACCAAAAGTGTATTTGGAAAAAAGTGTTTTCAGCATTTACTACATACTAGGAATTATGCTGCAATATTTCTAGGTATTAAATCATTTAATAATCACAACATCCGATTGAAGTATTTACCATAATTATCTTCATTTTAGAGATGAGAGACCTGGTGCCCAGAAAGGTTCATTAGCTTGCCCAAGGTCACTGTATGAGTTTGTTTTCACGCTGCCGATAAAGACATACCTGAAACTGGGAATGAAAAAGGGTTTAATTGGACTTACAGTTCCACGTGGCTGGAGAGGCCTCAGAATCATGACAGGAGGCAAAAGGCTCTTCTTACATGGTGGTGGCAAGAGAAAATGAGGAAGAAGCAAAAGAGGAAACCCTGATAAACCCATCAGATCTCATGAGAATTATTCATTATCACAAGAATAGCATGGGAAAGACCAGTTTCAATTAGTCTTTTCATGATTCAATTACTTCCCCCTAGGTCCCTCACAACACGTGGGAATTCTGGGAGATACAGTTCAGGTTGAGATTTGGGTAGGGACACAGCCAAACCGTATCAGCCACACAGCAAAAAAATCACTCAATCACTCGGTGCAATTTGAACCTCAATGATCTGTCTTTAAAGCTTGTGCTCTTGATACTATGCTGCTTCTCTGCTATGAGTGTGGTTCCAGTTCCTGCACTCTTTGAGAAAACCTACCCTGGGTCAATGGCAGGTGCATCTTGGTGGGTACTACAGGATGGACAGGAGAGAGACAAAGCTGACCTGCCCACAGCAACCTAGGCAGTAAAATTCTACATTGAGGGGTTGCCTGAGCTCACTCATAAGAATCCTAAGATTTTCTGGTTGGAAATCTTCAGCCCCCTGAGTCCGATATTCTTTAACTACAAGCAATAATATGATTTTATTTAAGGCAAAAAGTAATCCTTTGGGCATCACTGTGCCAGATTTTGCATTACATCACTATGTCCGTGTAATAGGGGGAGAAAATGGGTGGTAATGTGGTAAAGTCTCAATAATTGGAGGCCGTGCAGAATAAAATGTCAATGGAAGGAGGCTTTTTGAGTTCCTCAACCAAGGGCAGGTGGGTGGCAGGCAGCATGGGGTGGGCTTCCAGCAATGATGGAGTGTCCCTTCAGAGGATTGGCCTCTTGTAAGGGACAAGAAAAGAGTCACACTATTTTCTTTCTCTTTTTCCTCCAGGGCTCTTTCCGGGAGGCATGGTAAGTCGCATAAGAATGTCCCCTGGCACTGGTGGCTGCACTGGGGCTTTAGTTAATTCTGCAGCAGCTGGGAAGAACAGGCCCTCAGCTTGCCACCTGGATATATGTCTGCACCAGCCTGGCTGACATGGCCAGTTGGGTTGGGAGGGACAGCTTACTGGTGGGAAGAAGACTACCTACACCTGCGCAGTCATCTTGAAATTTATCAGGCCATTGACCTTGCCATTTATGAAGCACTTTTGTAGCTATTGTTGTTCACAGTAAACATATGAAGCCACGATTATACCCCCTGAGACCCCACAGCCCAAGGGTGAGGGAGGAGATTATGATCTTGGTTTATCCAGCACTTAACTCCAAGTTTATTATTCTTTCCAGTACACTACTTGCAAGTGCTTATTTAGTGAATGATAGGTGTGCAGATGGATAAACCAATATAATAATCATAAAGAGAACCAAAAGTGTCCTCCGAAAAAAAATGTTTTGAGCATTTACTATGTCCTAGGAAGTATGCTAAAGTATTTCTAGATATTAAGTCATCTAATGCTTATAACATCCCACTGAAATATTTACTGTAATTATCCTCATTTTAGAGATGAGAGACCTGGAGCCCAGAAAGATTCATTAGCTTGCCCAAGGCTTCTGGATGGGTCCTGGGCATTTTCAGGGCAGGTTTGCACTAATTATCTCATGCAAATAAAGGAAGACATGCACGAACACAGGGACTGTCCCCTCTCACCACTCTGTCCTTCTAGAGACTGTCTTCTCTTCCTTCCCTCATCGCAGCTCCTAACATAGAGGCTGCAGCAAGGAGAATCCCTGCAGGGAGCATGGCTTTGCTATTTTCTATGATCCTGATATTTACTGTGGGTAATATTTTGAAATATTTCAACCATGCTAAAAATTATTCCCTTCAGGAGACCATGTCGGAGTTTACAGAGCACGCGCATGCTTGTTCTCACCCTTCATCCTCATGACAAACCTAAGGGAGGGTTATTTTTAAAATAACATTCTATAGAAGAGGAAACTAAGGCACAAAGAGTTGAAGTGGCCTAGATCACTTAAGAGGAAGAGCTCATACCCCATCCTGGAGCTCCCTGGCTCCCAGCCCTCTTCTCTGTGCCCTCTGCCAGCTTGTTTGTCATGGGTCTCCTGTTTTTGAAAATTGGGGGGTGAAATGGTTTAATATTTGGATAACATTCCCCCTCTACTGAGGTTCAGAAACACCTGAACAATAGCTAAATCAGGATATAATGGAATACAGTGAAGGGAAATGACTAATCCGGGGTCACACTGCCTAAGAGAACCCTGAGTCTGCCCGAACCCAATAATGTACATGTGCATGGACACAGACACAGGCTCCCAGGGTGAGAATCCCCCCAAATCTTAGTCCCAAATCACATCACAGAGTTCCCAGCAGTCTGTACCCCAGAGGCTTCCCATCAGTCGTTGACCTTGTGACCTTGAGAGGCCTGTGGCTCTGGGGCCCGAGGTGGGCTTCCCTGCCAGGAACCGGCTCTTGGGCTCCATGTTGTGTTTCCCTGTTTTTCAGAACGTGATGCCTTTGACACTTTGTTCGACCACGCCCCAGACAAGCTGAATGTGGTGAAAAAGGTGGGAAAGGGGTGTCTAGGACAGAGAGAGGGAAGCGAGATGCAGCAGGACATGGGGAAAACCCATCCCTGCAGCTCGGGAGCTTCCTGCTGGAACTGATGGCATCACCTAATCTCTGCACGCACACGGCTTTCCCCCTTGTCATCCATGTACCTGTCTGTTCCTTACTGAATGTTGCACCCGGGCTTTTTCCTCTCCATCAGCATGAGCAGCCTGTCTTCCCACCCAGGCTAACCCCAGCAATCCCAGTCTTCCCCGCTCCTCACAGAATTCCCTGTCTCCCTGGCCTAGGCACGTGTGCTGAAGAAAGGACAGGATGGAGAGACCCAGTGGAATCTTTTTATCTCAGTTCCCCACTCAGACACTCCACCTGTCATTCTGCCTCTTGGGACCTCCTTATTCCTTACACACCCTGAGTTGTATGGGACTGCAAGACCTAGAGCCTGTGGCCCTCCCTGTGCACTCAAGGGCCTTTGCAGAGAGACCTTCTGGGCCCGGGGCTCTTGGCTGGGCCTGATCCCGTGCTTTCACCCTCACCCTCGCCCTCGCCCTCACCCTCATGGGAGTCATGGGGCAGCCGCAGGCTCCTGTACTAGTGCAAATCCCCAGCTCTGGGCCTGCTTTGCTTCTCTTTTAGACACTCATCACTTTCGTGAACAAGCACCTGAATAAACTGAACCTGGAGGTCACAGAACTGGAAACCCAGGTGGGTGACAGACCCTAGCACAGGTGGAGGCAGGGCCCTGCCCTACAGCCCCTGTTCCAAGTGGTCCACCACACATGGCCAGGAGGGCTTTCCCAGCTGAGGGGAATGAGGGCATGGGGATCTGTCCTAATCTGAGGGGTGGACTGAATCTCTGCGGATTTTTTTCCAAATTTTTATGGTGAAAAGTTACAAGAATGAATACTCATATACCCTTCACCTGGATGCACCGATTATTAGTATTTGGCCACACCTTTCTCTGCACCCCTAAATGCTTGAGCATACGTCTCTCAAGAACAAGCACATTCTCTTAGATAGCCACAATACGGTTATCAAAGACAGGCCGTTTTAACATAATACATTAATCTGTTTAGATTGAATCATATGAAATTGCTGACATTCGACTTTTTTTTGGTTTTTTGTTTTGTTTTGTTTTTTGAGATAGAGTTTTACTCTTGTTGCCCAGGCTGGAGTGCAGTGGCAAGATCTTGGCTCACTGCAACCTCTGCCTCCCAGGTTCAAGCGATTCTCCTGCCTCAGCCTCCCAAGTAGCTGGGATTACAGGCATGTGCCACCATGCCCGGCTAATTTTTTGTATTCAGTAGAGACGAGATTTCACCGTGTTGGTCAGGCTGGTCTCGAACTCCTGACCTCAGGTGATCCACCCACCTTGGCCTCCCCAAGTGCCGGGATTATCGGCATGAGCCATCACGCCCAGCCGACTGTTTTTAACCTACTAAAATGGCAACGTCACGTGGTTGGAAAAAACACTGTTCAGATTTTGCCGCTTGTCCAGTTTGCTCACATGCTGCATTTACTTGTCATGTCTCTTTAGTGTCTTTTTAACATAGAACAACTCCTTGGCCTTTCTTGGCGTGGCATTGACACTTTCTGAAGCGTTCAGGCCAGCTGGTTTATAGACTGTCTTTTCCCTGCGTATTAGATTCAGGTCATCATTTTCATCAACAGCACTCCCCATGTAAGGCTTTGTTCTTCCTGCGTCATCCCAGGAGGAGGCACTCTGTCCATTAGCCCCACTGCTAGTGATAACTTGGATTATTTGGTTAGGGTGGTATTCACCGGATTTCCCTATTATAAAGTTATTTTTCCCCTCTTTATACTTAACTAATCTTTATTGGGGAGATACTTTGAGCAAGATGAATCCTGTTTCCCCACCTCCTTTCATTCTTGGTGAGCTTCTGCCTTGTGCTTCTCTTTCAATCGTCTGGGTACCTCCTTTTATTTTAAAGGCAAATGCCAGTCTGTCGCTGAGCTCCACCTGAGTGTGTCTAGACTGTGTGAAATGAGCTTCATGTACTCTTGTAGGAAGTAAGGAACGTTCTGGAAAAGTGACGCTTCCTTTAGTGAGCTAGAATGGACCCTGGAATGATTAGCTCGTTTTTCAAGGGCAGGGAGTGCTATGACAGAGGTCACTGCCAAGCACTTTGGGTTTCTGCAGTTTTATCTGCTATTCCTACCAAGTTAGTGGAACCAGCCATAGGAGGTGAGAAGCAGTCTAAGCCTGGCATTCAGAGCTGTGAATGACCCCAACCCTAACCCAAGGTCACCCCTGAGCTCACAGATTGGATTCTTTTACTCCTAACTCCTCCTCACCACAGCTCGAATAAAGCTCAGCTCCCACCAGAAGAGCCTTGATTTTGACAGACTCTGGGGTCTGCTCTTCCGTGTCCACCTAGGGTGAGTCATGTTCAGGCCATTCCCACCTGAGTTGTAGGCCTGATGGATGGAAGCTAGGAGGAGCTACCTTTTTGTTTTTGAGACAGGATCTTACTCCCATCGTGCAGGCTAAAGTGCAGTGGCACGATCACAGCTTACTGCATCCTCAACTTCCCAGGCTCAGGTGATCCTCCCACCCCAGTCTCTTGAGCAGCTGGGACTACAGGCATGCACCACCATACCCAGTTAATTTTTTTGTATTTTTAGTAGAGACAGGGTTTCGCCATGTTGCCCAGGCCAGTCTTGAACTCCTGAGCTCAAGCGATCCGCCCGCCTCAGCCTCCCAAAGTGCTGCGATTACAGGCATGAGCCACCACACTTGGCCAGGAGCTGCCTTTAAGGCAAGCCCAAGCTCAGGGTCTTATGCCCTTAATGAAGGCTGAGCCACAGGCCGGCCAGCTGGCTACCTGGAAAGCTCTCTGAGCAGACTCTGGGCTCCTAAGGTGATTCCAAGAAATTTGGCCTCTGTGAACCCTAGTAGCTATTTACACTCATAAACATTTGGTGGCCCAGCCTCCTTTGAAAGGGTTCTAGAATGTCGGATGTGCATCTGACCTCTATGTCTTTGCTAGGCCATCCCCCACACCTGGAACCACTGCTTCTCCAAAGGTCCATCATCCCTGGCCTCCGTGGCCTCCACAAGCCTGTCTTGAGTGCTCAGCATATGCTCACCTCACCCAGCCCTGAGCAGAAGACCAGCAGCCTCCACACTTAGCTGAGGGACTCTCCTGTCCCTTGGGCCTGGTTTCCCAACCATTCTGGCCTCTTCTGCCTAGGAAGGGACCGGGCTGCAAGCCTCTTGCCAGGGCCCTCAGCACATAGTTCTGCTTTTGCCAGGAAGAGCCAGTAAGTCATGTCCTGACTGCTTTGTTGTTTTCCCAGACAGTAATAGCAATATTTAATATTTATTCAATGCTACATGCCCAGCAGTTTACAGGCCCTCTCTGCATATTAACTGGCTTAGTCCTCACGATAACTCTGTGATGTAGATACTATACTATTACCATCCCTGTTTCACAGATAAGACATATGAGTACAGAGAAGTGACATAACTTGCCCAAGGCACACAGCTAGTAGGTGAGAGAGCTGGAATTTGCACCGGGGAGACCTGGCCCCAGAGCCCACATTCATAACAGCTGCACTCTGCTGCTGTAATACTGAAGAGAGATGGGAGAAAGAAGAATGCCCAGGCCTGTGTGACACTAGTCCTTTCTCTGTTCAGAAAGCACAGATCACCCCAGGAGCCTCATGCCATTCACCTTGGACATCGCCTCTCCCTCCTCCCTCTGTCCCACTCTAGCCAATCCTGCTCATCCTCAGCTCTCCACTCAGGCACCGTCCTCTCCGGAAGCCTCTGATGCTTTCAGTGCTTATGGGTGACCTTTCAACCTCACTCAGGCCAGCGAGCTTCCTTCCATCAGAGCAGCTGTGCCTTGTCCCCACACCAGTTTCCCTATTAGACTGTGCACTCCTCCAGGGCAGGAGCCACACTGACTCCCCACGCTTTGGTCCCCATGCCTAGACCAGGAGTTGGTACACAGCCTCTGTTCAGTCAATGCTGCGTCAGCTGAGATCAGGGCCTGGGCTTGTGGCTCCTGTGCTGCGCCAGCCAGACGTGGGGCAGAGCAGACCTCCTTGTCTCGGGCCACTGCCCCTACCCCCCAGCTAGCAGCCTGCCTGGGGTGGTAGGCTTCAGGTGGCATAGCACAGACATTGATGGGCCTCCTGGATGGGGACTGGCTGGGAGGCTTAGGGGCCAGTGCATCACCTGGCTCTTCCTCCAGTTTGCAGATGGGGTATACCTGGTGCTGCTCATGGGGCTCCTGGAGGGCTACTTTGTGCCCCTGCACAGCTTCTTCCTGACCCCGGACAGCTTTGAACAGAAGGTAAGGAGAAGGGACATCAGGGAGGCTGCCTAACCCACATCCCCCGACTCATCTGCCCACACCCACGCTGGGACTATCCACAAAAAAGGCAGAAGCCTCCCCTCTGCCCAAGGTCTTCAGTGCCTGGAGGTGGGGCCCATTATAAGAGCTGAGCGAGGAAGGAGCTACCTGCTGACCACTGGGCATCCCTGACTGCCTTTCCCTTCCCCTGAAGTCTGGCCCTGGTCCCCTGCCCTGTGTTTCTGTCAAGTGTCCCAGCCCAGCCTCCTGTCTCCCCAGAGGTGACAAGGAAAGTGACTGTGAAGCTGGTCAGACCTGAGGCCCATGCTTAGCCTGGTTCTGATGGCCTCTCGTAGGCTGCCACATCCTGCTCGCTACACAACGGCATTTGGTCCACAGCAGAAAGCCTGCTCTGCCTGTTGAACATGTCCTGCCATCTGATTCTTCCAAACGTGTGCACTGACACCCCCAGTTTGAAGTCCTGGCAGTTTACACAGGAACACAGTAGGATATGAAGGGAGTTTTGTGCTTCTCCAGGAGTGCTTCTCCAACAGCAAGCTAGGATCAGCTAGCTCACGCTCCAGGTGGCCTGCCCATTTTGGTAGCCATATTTCTTCTTGAAATTAGTTCAGCCTCTGCCCCTCTGGCTACAGTGCTGGGCTCCTTCACTTCCCAGGGCCAGGTCCTGGGGCTCCTAGGTGTGCAATGGTACATGCTGTCTGCATCTCTCTTGCCAGGTCTTGAATGTCTCCTTTGCCTTTGAGCTCATGCAAGACGGAGGGTTGGAAAAGCCAAAACCGCGACCAGAAGGTACTTTGCTGTTCCTGGGTTTGTGACAACAGAGACCCTCTCCCTGCACACGGGTACTCAGATTTTGTAGCAGAGGGAAGCATTTTCTGAAGTCTTTATTGCTGGGGAAGGTGGGACTCGGTGCAGCTGCTCAGTCCCAGAGACCCTTTGTGAGCTGCCAGCTGCACAGCCAGGGGAAGAAAAGAATCTAAAATCCCACACATGGCTTGCATGGGATTGCAGGGATCAGGGCCCGAGCAGAAGAGCTGCTGCAGGAACTGTCCTGTGCCCAATGTCCAGGTTTTTCTGTCCCTGCACAGGGTGCTGACCTGCCAAAGAGCTGTGTCCCTGCAAGTCGGGGTGAAGGTGCAGTGCAGACAGTTCTGGGCTGAGCAGAACTACTTCTATCTGACAGATGCGGAGCTCTGCCTGCTCAGACTCTGCCTGAGGACAGGGCATGATTTGTGGGGTTTGGGTTGTAAATATAAGACTGGGGGGAAATGCAGAAGGAACAAGTGCTCCTGCAGCCCTTGCATACTCATGCTAGGAGTGCACACGTGCATTCGTGAGCAGAGGAGGCACACTTCTCTTAGTAGTCTTCTTGGTATAGATGTTCGCTTTCTGCCCCTTACTGACTGAAGTATTCCATTTCACCAGAGCTGGCGAGTCACCACTGTGTTGCAGATGATCTGCATATGTCCCCTGGGAACATTGAGAATGCCATTTGTGGCAAAAGGTTGCTTGCACTTTTCTGGTAGTTTACAGGCAAGTGGATGAGTAGGGATGGTGGGCTTTCATGCCCCCTTGCTGCCTCTGCTCTGAACTCCTCTATCCAAACCCCCACCTAGTGGGGGCCATGCCCTGGTCTAGTGGGCTTGAGACCCTGTAGATCATGATATAACGAGAGGGGTAAGACCTTCCTGAACCTCAAGGCATGTGCAGCCAACCAGGGAAGAGACAAGTTGCAGCCAGTTAGCAAAATGAAATGACAGTCCTGGGAACTGTTACGTAAGAGGTACAAGGAAGAGGCTGTGAGGACTGAGGAGGTGATACCACTTCTGTCTTGGGGGAGGAACACTTTGATGGAGGTGGTAACAGTGGGGCTAAACCATAAGGACCAGGTAGGGCTTTGGTGTATGGAGACTGGGAGAGAAGTATGTGCATGCCAGACAGAATGACAGCATGAGCAAAAGAAGAATGAGGACCCTGTCTCATGACTCCTTCCAGACTTGTTATCTATTGACTCTGGCCAACACAGGTCAACTCCTGTTCTCATTTATTACCACCTTGTCCTAAGCCCCTGGTCAACTGAGAACTGGGGGAGGACCTCTGGCGAGGCTGGTGTCCCCCTGGGGCTCTCTCTTTGGCAAGGCCACTCCAGCCTTCCTAATAGCATTAGGAATGGACTCTTCTTGTTCTGTGGGCAGATGATGAGCACCCTGCTTCTGGGAGGACAGACACAGTGGGAACGTTCCGGCTATCATTTTGCTTCCATTTTCTTGAACTGCTTAATATGAAACTTCCTGGTTACAGATTGGAAGTACTTCTGATATTTTAGAATTGGGATATTTCTTTCCCTTGGGACAGATAATTTTCCCAATATAAATCAATCTATAGGAATATTTTGGAATATAGGTGATATTTTTATGCAATTATTAAGTTGCTGAATATGAAACTAACTGACCGATGTGGATGGAAAAACACATGTTTTATTTGTTATGACACAGGGCATTATGCCCATGCTGCAAATTTCCAGTACGTAAAGGGGAATGGAAATAGCATTTTATGAAATTGTACTTTGTGAGAAGTGAATCCCAGCATTCCCTCTGCCTTTTATGCTTCTACCTGGAAAGTGAGATTTGGAAGTAAACGATGCAGACATTTCAAAGGGTGCCCATGTGGGTAATTCTTTGAGGGCATTTCAAAATCAAACTGGTTGTGATGGAGGCATTTTTCATGGCAAAATGTTTTTAAGGTCAGGAAAATGCATTCTCCGCTGTGCTGTTTAACACTTAAAGCTCTGTTGTGCCTTGAAATCCCCTAGAAACTGGGTTGGTATCTGAGATGACTTGCTGCCCGGGCTTCATGACTGTTTAGTACCTCAGTTAGTGTAAGCCAAGGGTTAGCATCAAGTTCATAACCAGTGGAGCACTTGAAATAATGGCCAGGCGTGGAAGCTCACACCTGTAATCTTAACACTTTGGGAGGCCAAGGTGGGCAGACGGCTTGAGCTCAGGAATTTGAGACCAGCCTGGGCAACATAGTGAGACCCCATCTGTACAAAAAATACAAAAAAATTAGCCAGGTGTGGTGGTTAATTTTCCATCTCAGGAGGCTGAGGTGGAAGGGATCGCTTGAGCCTAGGAGGCGGAAGTTGCAGTGAACCGAGATGGCACCACTGCACTCCAGCCTGGGCAACAAAGTGAGACCCTGTCTCAAAGGAAAGAAAAAGAAATATTGTCATGCAGCTGGCAGCTTTTTATTTAGGGCATTGTGCCACATGTCTTCAAATGCACATGTCCACCCTGTTATCACCCTTCAAGTAGACTCACCATCAATTATGGTTAAGACTCCAGAATAACAGGCAGGCAGGGACTCAGAAGACATCTAGTACCAGGCAGGGTTGAAGTCTGTAGGACCGAATATCTAAAATGTAAGGAGTCTCATACCTGGGACCAGATGGCAAGCAATGCTGAAAAAACAAGCAGGTGATGGCAGCTGAGTTCCAGGTGATCACTTCATTCGGGGAAGACTTGGTCAGTGGCTGATAATATGGAAAATGTTCAACTCCCCCATTCCCCTCGGAGATAGTGTACAGAAGCCAACATTTAAAACTCTCATCATACCAAGTGTTAGCAAGGATGTGGAGCAACAGAAACTGCTGGTGTTCTAAATTGCTAGAACCATTTTATTTTTATTCAGTCCTTATTTAGCTGAAAGTAGAAAACAGTTTGTTCTCATCTAACATAGTTGAAGATGTGTAATGCGCTATAAAATAATGTGGTAGACACCCCCTGCCAAAATAATGTGGTCCCCAGCCCTGGACGTCCAGGCCCTAATCCTCGGTACCTGTTCATGTGTTATCTTACATGGCAAAAGGGACTTCGCAGATGTTATTAAATTTAGGGGCTTGAGATGATGACATTATCTAGGTGGTCCCAATGTCATCACAGGGGTCCTTATTATAAGTGGAAGAGGGAGGCAGAAGTGTGAGGGTGATGTAGCATAAGAAAGGCTCACCCAACTATTGCTGGCTTTGGGGATGGAAGAGGGCTATAAGCCAGAGAATGCAAGCAACCCCAGAGGGTTAGAACACCAGTAACTGCCTTATGGCCACCTAACTTATTCCATCCTCCACTTGGAAAGAACAAGTGTAAGGATCTCCATTAGAGCCTCCAGAGAAAAATGCAGCTGTGCTGACACTGTGATTTTATCTCAGTGAGACGGATTTGGGGCTTTTGATTTCTACAATTCAGAGATAATAAATTTGTGTTGTTTTTAGGCCACCAAATGTGTGCTAATTTACTACAGCAGTAATAGGAAGTTGGCACACTCCTTGACCTAGCAATCCACTCACAGGCATGCATGTCCATACACCAGGAGACAAGCCCAAGAATACCTGTGATAGCATGGGCTGGAGTGTACATCCCAGTAGACTAGCTACATAAATTGGAACATATTCATATCACGGATTATAATACAACCATGACAATAAAAAGATTGAACCGAGAAGTCAGGGGAGGAACTTCTAGTTACTGTAGCATGAAGAGATCAGTGACTATTCTCTGCTAAAGAGCAAGTGTGAAACTGGACAAAATGATCAAAAACAATGATTTTGAAGCACCGAAAATCTACCAGAGGTAGACAACAAGTCAAGAAGCTTTCTTCTTTTTTTTTTTTTGAGATGGAGTTTTGCTCTCCAGGCTGGAGTGCAATGGCACAGTCTTGGCTCACTGGAATTCCCCTCCCAGGTTCAAGAGATTCTCCTACCTCAGCCTCCCAAGTAGCTGGGATTAGAGGCTGCCACCATCACACCCAGCTAATTTTTGTATTTTTATTAGAAATGGGGTTTCGCCATGTTGGCCAGGCTGGTCTTGAACTCCTGACCTCAGGTGATCCACCTGCCTCGGCCTCCCAAAGTGCTGGGATTACAGACGTGAGCCACCCTGCCCGGCCAAGAAGCTTTATTCTTGAATAATTATAGAATTATAGTTAGATAATTATAGCTATACCTCAGTAAAACTGTTAAAAAACAGACAGCTCATGCAACAGCATAGATGAATCCTGTGAAATATAAAAAGAGGCAGCTTTCGAATCTACCGTTCAAGGGCACATATGTTGATGCTAGGACTGGTAAGAAAAGCAAGAAAGTAATCGTAAGCGTCAGCATAGTGGTTATATTTGGGGAATGAAAGAGGGAATAAGGGGACGGGATCCTCCTAGGGTACTGACAATGTTCTATTTTTGACATGGACAGGAGTTCATTTTCAAATATTTAAAACAGTACATATATGTTGCATGGGTTTTTTTCTGGATGTATGTCATATTTTTAAAAAATTTTAATGACTTAAAAGCTTTTAAAAATAAATAAAGCAAGTGGCAAACTACCACTAGATAGGACAGTAGGAGCACCAAAAGGAGCATCTATACAGCATGGATCCTGCCCCAGTGGGGAGTAGAGAGCAGGCAGAGATGTGAGGCAGGATGAGACAGAGGCGCCGGGAAATCGGCCGGGGGCTAGAGCATAAGTAACCACCTACTGGCCACCTGATTCCAGCCCCCACCAGCTGCCAGCCCTGAGCCAGCAAGGGCCTCCCACCTTGGTCAAGGGATTCAGAGACCCCGGGGGAAAGCTTCAGAGAAGGGCCTTCAACAGTGCCTTGGGATGAAGGAAACTGTGGTGTCACAAATGGCCACAGAGGGCCTTGTCTCTTTGTGCAAAATGTTTCTGCTGGGAAGAGAGTTCCTCTCCTTCCTTTGGCCTCTGCATCCTTTAGAGAATCATGAACTCATTTTGGATGGTCCTCTCCTGATGGAAAGAGTTACTAATACCTCTGGGTGGGAGGAGCAAACAGCAAGCCCTTTCCCCTTGGCCAGAAGCTGTTTTATCTCTACAGCCGCCTCTTCCTTGGCCCCAGGCTGCCAGACAGCCTCCGTTCTGGTGTATCTGACCAGGAGCCCCATAGTCCTGGCTGTCTGCCTCCAGAGAGGGGCCCTGGGCCAGCACACAGAGGCTCTCAGAACTGAACTGAGTTGCTAATCACACAATTTATGAGATCAGGGCTTTGAAGTGGCTCTGTTTATATGGCATGGAGTTACAATATATTCCCAGGAATCCACAGCCCTTCTCCTGGCTGAGATAGTCCAGTCTCCTGCTGGCTTGCTAGTCTGCCTGGGACTACCTGGGGGCTCAGGTCTTGGCTTTCTTGATAAGAACAGGTGATAAGCAGTGTCTCCGACTGCTGTCTCCCCTATTCACCCGGCCCATCTGTTGGCGTTAGTGGTGAAGGTGATGAAGAAGCAACTCACATTTCCAAGGAGCAGGGCTTAGTCCATGTGAATGGTGCAGGCATTGTGCAATGCACAGACCGCACGGCTGTACACAGCAGCTCTGCTAGTGGGCAAAGATGGGAAAACAGAAAGAAAACTACCATTTAGGGGACGCTTAATATATTCTGGGTGTTTTTCATAAAGGTATTGCCCAATTTTACCAGTGAGAAAACTGATTCAGAGAATTTAAGTGACTGCCAGGGTCACACAGCTGTGGTGGAGATGGACTTCAAACTTTTGTGAACATAAAAATGTCACTTAGTAACCATTAAAATGGCCAGTTTAAAACATTCTGCCATATTGGACATTTTCTAGCAACCTCAGAACTCACCCATCTTTCAGAAGGGAAAACAAATACCCCTGCCGCCGTCGGTATCTGTCCCTCATCGGGCCCCCAAATTCCTCCTTTGTGACCCATGCTCAGGCCTCCACTTCTGATCTGCCCATGCTGTTAACACTTTACCCCCACCTGCTCTTGGCCTTGCTCTCTCCCAAGTCACCTCCTGGGCCTGTGTCCCCTGGGAACTCTTTTCAGTCCTTAACCTCCTCACCCTCTTGGGAGCATGTGGCCCTCTTGTCTGCCCTCTCTGGAATTTTTTTCCTTGCTTCCAAGACACTGGGAAACCATTCATTCATGGATCTGTTAATATCCTTGGAGGGTCCGTGTTCTCTGTGTTCAAGGAACCTACAGTCCAGGGCAGAGGCAGATATTAATCAGTAAGCATACAAGTCACTGATTTATACCTGGAGTGAGTACTATGAAGGAAGCATGTGGGAGCTTTGAGAACATAAAACGGGACCCCTGTACCCAGGCCAGGGTCAGGAAGGCCTAGGAGCCTGTGCTTTGAGCTGAGGTCTGCAGGAGGACTCAGAGCCAGCTATTTGGGAAGAGTGATCTAGATATTGTAACAGCATGGCCCATGGGGAGGGTAGTGAAAGGAAGCCACAGTGACTGTGATACATAGTGAGGGAGGCAGTGTGGCACCAAATGAGAGTGGGAAGGTAGGCAGGTCAGGTCAGGTTACACCTTACAAAGCCATGATTTAGGATTTTGGACCTTCTAAGTGAAATAGTTGTATGGCCACACAAGCTGGGAGCTACACAGCTCCAAGGAGCTCTGTTCACCTTGTAGTCCGTGACAGTGGTGACCTGGAAGTGTGAATGATGTGCCTTGGAGTTGTGCAGTGCACATCCTGCACAGCCATACCTGGTGGCCATACCTGGAGCCACAGCCATACCTGGAGACCTGGAGGTCTGGCTCCAGTAGGTAGAGTGGATTGGAGAGGGCAAAGGGAGCTCATTAGGAGCCTGTTGCAGTGGCTCCAGGCTCACTTTACCTTCCCCTTTACACCCACTCCCTTGGCAAGCTCACCTTTACCCCTCTCTGCCTTTCTAGCAGTTCCTCCCTGGAGTAACTTCCTAATATTTGACTTGAGTGGAATTTAAGAAACACTCAACACCAAGCAGTCGGGAAGGACAGGAATCAGCCTAGAGGGCACAGGATTCCATCTGGCAGAAGGTGATTCAGAGTGGGACTCCTGGCTCAGCATGAGCAAGGCAAGGTAGCAGGGCTCAGCCTCAGGCCAGGGCCCCAGGTGGAAGCTCAGATATGTGATGAACCACCATGGGAGCAGAAATGGCCGCTGTGAGCTCCAGGCCACACCAGGGGTCTCTGGAAGCCCCTGGTCTATCAGTAGGAGACCTTGGGCCCAGCCAGGGTGGAGCAGGGTTGGTCTATAACCAGGATAAGGCCTGGAAGGAACAGGCAGGAGAGGCCCTGGGCCCTAGGCCTGGAGCTTGGGGCCTAAGCATGCCAGGCTGTGGCAGTCCCAGTTGCAAAAATCCCAAGGCTAAATACAGAGTGATAGAATGGACTTTAGAGACTGAGAATGGCGCGGGCAGGAGCAGGGACAGGGATAAAGAAACTAATACATGTTAGGTACAATGTGCAGTACTTGGGTGATGGGTGCACTGAAATCTCAGAATTCACTGCTATATAGTTCATTCATGTAACAGAAAACCACTGTACCCCAAAAACTATTGAAATAAAAAATAGAATCTTTTTTTTAAAGTCCCAAGGCTAAGACCTGGGAGCCCCTGGCTCCCCACTCTGCCTACTCTTGAAGGATCCCTGTGGGTATTGACCAGAGCATTGCTAGAATCCTGACGCCTTCCCCCACACCTTCTTTCCCAATGACTTAGTGTAATTTCTCCCATCTTTGAATCCCAGAGCATATATTACCTTCTCTTAATCACCTACTTCATCTGACCTTCGATACAATTGGTTTTTAATCATTTTTATTGTGAAAAATATCACATATACAGAAAGGTGCATGAAACATAAATGTACAGGTTAGTGAACTTTTACCAAGTGAGCCACCACGCAGCCACCACCCACGTCGAAGAAAAGAGTCATGCTGGCTCCCAAGAGCTTCCTCCAACTTGCCCTGCATCCTTTTTGAACCTAACCTCTCCCGTCTCCCTAAAGGTAACCACTATTCTGAGTCCAATCATCAAGGTTTTGCTTTGTTTTTGCTTTTCTTTATCATTTTATTACCTAAGTATGCATTCCTCAATAGTAGACAGAGTTCCATTTTTTTGTTTTCTCTTCTCCCATTCTTCAAAAGTTGGCTCTCTAGGAGAGTGACAGCAAAGGGACAAGAGTAGAGAGGGAGTCTTCTTGGGGGAGGGAGGAAGGTAGAGGAGTCAGCAGAGGATTAGACGAACAGAGAAAGTGGTGACCAGTAAATGGATGGAGGGAGGAAGGGCTAAGCAAAATGTGTCAGTGAGTCATAGCTAGCCTGCCAGCTGCCAGTTTCCAGCCTCTAGCCTACAAAATCATGCAAACTCCGTAACTTGGAATTCAAGGCCTTTCAGGATCCAGCCCCGCACACCCCAACCTCTCTAGCCATGCCAGCCTATTGGGAATTCTCCAGCATAGCTGGGTTTAGTAAGATACGCTAAACTTTCCACATGGAATTCTTTGCCCACTTCTGTACCTGGAAAGCTCCTATTGCAAAGGAAGGAAGGCAAAGAGGGAGGATAGGAAGATCTGGGGGGAGGAAAGAAAGAAGGAAGGAATAGAGGGAGGGAAGGAGGATGGGAGGATCAGAGGAAAGGAGGAAGGATGGGAAGATTAGAGGGAGGAAGTGAGCGAGAGAGGGAATGGTGGCATAGAAGCTGAGGGACCTCCAGCTGAAGTTTTAGTACCTCAAACCCTTCTGCCTTGCTCTGTTATTAATCCGAAGCTGTCTGTCCCCATGACGCCTATGTCCTGAGTACTCCTTGCAAGTCCCCCTTCTCTGCTAGGCACGCTTCTGTGAGGCAGCTTGAGTCCCAACTCACCCCCTTGTCCTCCACTATAGCCCCAGGCCTTCCCCTCCTCTCCACCACACATGGTTGCTTCTGTGGTAGAGGCTGGAGGCAGTGGGCAAAGAGCCCCGGGACAGGTGGGGATTGTGGGGAGAGTCAGGCCTTATCTGGAGATGCTGTGCCCCAGCACCTCTACCCTAACTGCCCCCTGCCCACTCTACCCATCCACCCCGAACATGCTGGGTACACAGGGGTGGGTGGGAGGGGCAGTGTATGCCAACCTTGGAACACGTGGCCCCACGGAAACAACGTGTTTTTTGTTTTCTACACAGACATAGTCAACTGTGACCTGAAATCTACACTACGAGTGTTGTACAACCTCTTCACCAAGTACCGCAACGTGGAGTGAGGGGCTGCCCTGGGCCCCCCACTGCCCAGGAGCTCTTGCTGTTGGCGTACTGGACCCTCCTCCGAACTGTCTTACCCTGCTTATTCCTGTCTCTTGCACTGTGCTCTCCCACAAGTCCAGCTGCAACCCAGAGATAGTAGAAATTGAAATTAGGAAGGAAATGATCATAACTCAGTGGGCTGACCCGTCCCTCCCAGGCCCTGGGGACAACCTAGCAATGAAGGTTGGGAAGGTTGACCCATCCCGGTGCCAGGTCCACATTTCCCTCCATGATTTGGGAACCAGCTTAGGCAAAAGAGTCCCCAGAAATGAAAATAAAGATCCTAGTTACCTTTCAAAGGGTGCTAACTATGTGTCAGGCACCACACTCAGTGCTCTGCTCTGATATACTCAAGGCCATTAATCTTCAGGACTCCCATGGAAGTAGGTGTTACAATCCCCTTTTACAGATGAGGAAACTAAGGCTCGGAGGTTAAATGACTTGCCAGAAGTTGGCCTTTTTTTCGTCTTTGAACATAACCTCTCCCTTCTCCCTAAAGGTAACCACTATTCTGAGCCCAGTCATCAAGGTTTTGCTTTTCTTTATAATTTTATTACCTAAGTATTCATTCCTCAATAGTAGACAGTACATGTTTATAACAAGCCAATTGCATATGTTCTTTACATATTCTAAAGTTGTGTATATGTGGGCACATACGAGCACGTGCATATGTACACCTGAGCCAAAAAGACGAGAACCCACCGATCTCACCACTGGGGCAAGCTAGGTCAGAGCTTAGTGATTCACACTGAAATTGGCAAATTGGATTTAACCCAATTAATAGTGTGTGTGTGGCAGGAGTCATGTCCCTCAAATCCTTTGTACAAATGAAAATTACTCTTAATTCCATCAGATTTATAATAACTCTGTACTTTGGTTTCAGGGTGACATTTGGGAAGGATTCTGTTTAGAATTAATGGAGTGGCACATTTTGCAGCCTTTTTGCTTGATTGCATGTAATGGAAATGCCCTATATTTTCCTGCAAAATAAGTACTAAATTCATTATCGTTAAGCAAATGTACAATATGCTCAGGCACTGCAGAGAGCTGGGCACGGGCCCATGTGAGCATCGCTTTGGAAGTAGGGCACTTCAACAGGGACCCTTGAACTTTAAAGAAAGGAACTTCTTTTTGCCTTCTAATTGATCATTTGGACTATTCTGGCTAAGTCTGTCCACATGTAATTACCGGCTAATTCAGGCGAGGAAAAATGTAAGTCATTTAGACCAAAGCCAAGCAGTTTCTTTGCGTGGGTTACTCAAGGGCTTGTGGTTACTTGTATCTCCTCTATGTGAACTTGACTTTGAAAGACAGAGCTCTAGTGTGCCAGCCTGCTAGGTCCTGTAAGAATAGGGAAGGGGCAGAGGTGGGTGGGCAGTGACTAGGGGACGAGAAGCATGGGAAAATATTTGCACTCTGAACATATAGAGATAGAGGTGGGACTTGTGGTACTCAACACTTGTAGCCTTCAACTGACTGAGGCTTTGGGCTAAATCATCAATTGTGCTGATATCCATCTCATTATGGAATGTTCCTAAATATGCCAGGTAGACACCAGCCCAAGTACCCTCCTCCAGAAGTCTGTGACTACCTTGTCACTACTTTAGGCCCACTCCACAAAGCGCATCTCTGGTTTGAGAAATTCATTTTGATCTGTATCTACACCACCCAAAGTTAGGCCTCCTATAGTGTCCAAAACATTCCTTTCAGCCTTATTTCTTACTGTACTGTCTATCTGCAGTAATTCAGGACCCATAAAATTTAGATAACTACATGTCTTTGCTCTTAGAATTGTCACTCAGCATAATGAGCATTTAACATACAAAGGCAATGTACCGTTTTGTGTTGATCTATGTAAAAGAATACAATTCTTTTTTATGTAATTAGTGAAATTTTATTTTTTATTAGGAAACACTAAATAGTGTGATATTTCTTTTGCTTTTTAAAAAATTCCTGGTAGCAAATCAAGATAAATAATTGCTTAATTTTCTTGAGCAATACTGAAGCAGGATGAAATAAGAGGAATGCATTCATTTAAACATGCTTCGCTTTATGAATTTTGTCTCTTTTTTGGTCTTTTTTTCTTATATTCAAGTTACAAATGTACAAGTGTCCTTACTAAGAGTGCTCCTTTTGTATTTTACATATACACAGTATGAAAATACATTGGAACACTAGGAAAGTTTTTAAATAACAGTTCTAATTTATCAGAAAATTGTGTTTTGGGATTGAGTTCTTTGACTCAGCCCAGAATCCCACGTCCTGGGCCTGGTTTTCTAACGCGGTCATCTCATCTCGATATTTTACTTTAGAATCTGGAATCTCCTCCTTAATATATGACCATGACTTTGAAAGCCAAAAGAGGAATCAACAAGAAATAAAACAAACCTTCATCTTTAAATAAAAAGAAAAAAGAAAGAAACCAAAATGAGAATCAACACTTTATAGTATAGGCTCACTGGGTTTTGTTTTCTTTTCTCTTAATTTAAATTCAGTTATTTTTAATGGTTAATACATAAATGGTGCGAAATTTTAAAAGCGCAAATAGATACCTAGTGGGAAACCCAAGCCTCCCTCTCTCCTCCAGCACCCATTACCTCTCCCTGGAGGCAACTCTTTTGATCCATTTCTTACACACACTGCCAGAGATACTCTAGGCATGTAAAGCACAAACATACATATAAAATCTGCGGGCTTTTAAAAATATAAGTAAGATGTCATACATACTGTCATACACATTCTTTTTTACCACTTAATGTTATATCTTGGATATTGTATTACCTGGATATTAAAAAGAACTCCTTTCACATTTTAAAATAACAGTCTGAGCACTTCATAAATCCAAATGCGTATCTCCAGTCTGCTTGAGCTAGGAAAGGAAAAAAGCCCGAGCCGAAGGAGGAAAGGCTGCCTAGACAGTGATTTCAAAAGTAGAGACTAAAACCTATGGAGTGCGGGACCAGAGGCTGGGGCGCATTATCAGAGGCATCCTCATGTGCCTTCAACTGAACGTGTTTAAGTCCTCTTTTGGAATATTATGGTGAATTGTATGCAGATTGGTGAAGGCTTCATTTTTACATATTACCAGGACTACTAATTTGTAATCTACTAAGCATCACAAAGGTTACTACATACCCTATAATTCTGTGCTATAAAGTCTAGCTGCCAGCAGTGCCGTGCTCGCCTGCTATATTAGAAGGCTCCAGTTTCACATGTGCAGCACAGAGATGACATTGCCTGATCTGGGAGAAAGGTTCTTTATCAGCACATCATCAGTGTTGCCTTGAGTTGGTTGCAATTTTCAATTGCTGCTATTGGTACTTTTTAATTATGAATTACTGTTAGCTTGCATTATCATCAGTTTATTTTGTTGTGGGTTGCTTGGTTAACCCTACAGAGTATACTTGAAGCTTATTTGCATCAACAGTATTTTGGAGCTGTAATTTTTCAATAACTAGACTCTAAGACATGTATACATTGTGGTTCAAATAGGAATCATCCATAGTCCAGTGCTAGAACAAATGTATACATAATCCACTCCCCACAAATTATCACTCATTTATTTTTCCACTGGAAGATAAGACTAGATGGAGTCGGTGGGTGAAGCAGTTTTGCCCTGCCTAAGTGGAGGCTGATCAAAACTAATTTGAGGTCCCCTGCCTTTAACACAGCTCCACCTCAGGAATCTTACCTTTATAATACATCCTAGATATGCAAGAGGGATATGTCCTGAAATCTTCACTAATTCCAAGATGGCATGTCATTTCCCCCCCAAAAAAATTTGTTTAACTCTATTAGAAAATCACAGAGAACTGCTGCAACTGCTGAAAACAAGAGAGCTGCAGAGCTGCAAGGCTGGGTAGGGTAGGTAGACTGACTCACCACCTATGGGACCTGCCTTCACACATCAGCTTCCCAAATACTTGCAGATTTGAGTCTTACCAAAAGACAAGTCAGTATGAGTTGTCATAACTACAAAGGCTACATTTACAAATACCAGAGTTGTAATTGTTTTTTTACTCTCTGCTCCCTGAAAACTATAACCCCAGGCTAGCTTCAAACTGTGCTTATAGCATGCTCTACTACAGTGGTGGCTGCATATGTGAATATGTGCATGTGTGTTCACGACAGCAGTGCAGCCATGAGGGTGCTCAGTACAGGGTGAGCAGCCCCCAAACCAAGCCGGATGACCTTGAGAACATCAGGCTTCCCAGTAGGATCCTGCCAGAAAGCATCTCTTAAAAATAAATTCTACAGGATATTAGTAAATGTTAGATGGAAAAAAAAAGTCACATTTAAATACGTTTAGGAAACATGAGGTGAAGAAAGTTAGCTTACTGAGGCTTTTTGTTTTCTAGTTGGAGCCTACCTCAGAGGCCCCTACGTAATGCATATTAGGACTCTGTGAAGGAAGACGGGATACAATGGGTGCCAGTCTTGTTTGGTCACAGGACCTGTCTGTCCCCTGAGAAATTTCTAGAATGAGTACTCTGAACTCAGGCCTTCATTTAGTCATGTATTCGGCAAGTACGTGTTGAGTGCAGCATGTCAAAGGGTGAGTGAGAGGTTATAGTGTAGCAGGGGAGACAGATGAAAAATAACTCTGAATCGATGTTAGTTACAAATTGTGAGGACCGCGATGGAGAAGTACTAAAATCTGTGAAAGAGGTCTAATGGAGATTTGAGGTCATGAGGAGTCTCTGGCAAAGCGGCGTGTTAAAGTAACCCCTCAGTCGTGGAGCTACTCCAGTGAGGAGCCAGCCACTCCAGGGCGCAGCACGGAGGAGGATCCCCAGACAAGAAGACCTGGCTCCGAGAGGAGCTGCGGGAAGCCAGCATGACTAGAGGACACAGAGTGAGGGAGAAGAAGGATCCGATCGCAGGCATCGGGAGTGCTGATTTTTCTCATTTGAAAACTAGGTTGCCATTTACCTATTAAAATGTCCCACTGTGTAGGAAAACTCTGGGGAAAGCTACATCAGTAATACGGAGTCTGGGACTGCCCTTCTCATGTCATACCATGGTTCTGGCTGGGGAACGGAGGAGACCAGGAGAGATGATCAAACCTCTGCCCACCCCAACACCAATCTGGTCTCAGCAACCTCTGGGCATCCCATAGCTCCTCCTAACCTGCTGCTGCTGATGGACAGGAGCTCCTGGACTACTCCCAGCCTCTCCACAATGTGTCCTGGGAAGAGCTAGGGGAACTGGACAGAGCGGACAAGGCTGCATGTGTGGAGGGAAGGAAATAAGGGGCCTACCAGGCCAGAACGCTGATCCATGGAGACCAGCACTTCCAGCCCCCTCACCTCAGAGGAGGACTCCTGTTTTACCAATGGCAGGAGCAGGAGTCCCACCATCCAGCCTGTGGGCTTGACAAACTATAAGCAAGCTTCCCGGATGTGGAATAATACATTTTCCAAATTCATACTAATCAGCATGAGCTATACCTGCTGCTATGCCCACCACATTATATACAGTCTACCAACAGGGGGTCACTTAATGTTTCAGAATGGTTGGTGAAACAACTTTCATATGAAAGTACAGTTATCCTTGAATGATATGGGCAGTGACCCCTGAGCAGCTGAAAATTTGCATATCACTTGACTCCCCCAAAACGTAACTATAATACTAATAGCCTTACTGAACACAGTCAATTAACACACACCTTGTATATTATGTGCATCATATACTATATCCTTACTATAAAGTAAGCTAGAGAAAAAATGTTACTAAGAAAAACATAAGCAAGAGAAAATATATTTACTATTCATTAAGTGAAAGCAGGTCATTATAAATGTCCTCATCCTCATGGTCATCACATTGAGTAGGCTGAGGAGGAGGAGGAGGAGGATGGGTTGGTCTTGCTGTCAGAGGGGTGGTAGATGCAGAAAAAAATCCATGGGCTGGGCATGGTGGCTCACACCTGTAATCCCAGCACTTTGAGAGGCTGAGACAGGCATATCATGAGGTCAGGAGATGGAGACTATCCTGGCTCATATGGTGAAACCCCTGTCTCTACTAAAAATACAAAAAATTAGCCAGGCGTGGTGGTACGTGCCTGTAATCCCAGCTACTCAGGAGGCTGAGGCAGGAGAATCGCTTGAACCCGGGAGGTGGAGGTTGCAGTGAGCTGAGATCGCGTCACTGCACTCCAGCCTGGGCAACAGAGCAAGACTCCATCTCAAAAAAACAAAACAAAACAAAATCCATGAACAAGTGGATGCACTCAGTTCAAATCTTTGTTGTTCAAGGGTCAACTGTATATTATTTTCACTGGAAGTTTTGAAATTCCAGAAATATGCTTGGAAATCCCCTCTTGAGAGCTCCTTGATTGGAAACCAATCCAGTGGGTGGCTGGCCCAGAATGATGCTTCTCCTCGGTGGCCCCCTGAGCTGAGCAGCCTGTGTTCCTGCCTCAACTCCCCTGAACCCTCCTGAACTTTCTACACACGTGTGGGCACTGGCTTTGATACTGGCATTTGGAAGGGCACTTAGGAAATTCAGAGAAGTACCCATTATTAAGATAAATGATGTTTTATCAATGAAGCAGACTTTTCATTTCTCTTTATTGATCTTCATGTTTTCACATCTTCAGATGCAATTTGTTAGCACAGGCCGGCATTCCAAGACACACAAATGTCATTAAGGCAACTGCTTAAAGGAGTGTGATATTTTATTGAGGTAGACAGGACAATAGATAAATATTTAATCTGTTACATGTTTGCTCTGTATGGAGCCAGGGTTGGGGCTGCACAACTCTCTGGCTGCTATGTGTCTTCCTGGAAACCCTGTCAAAGGCCTCACCGCCTGCCTGCAGAAACACAGTGCCTGCCCTTGGCAAATAGATGTTGGTGTTTCTGAAAAACAGCTCCTGGAAGCTTTTTCTCCTTCAGGCTTTAGAGGTTACCCAATCTTTCCTTATGTGTGTAATATTGGAGAATATACACTCTCACTGAACTGAGGATGTTTGACTTAAAATGATGGACAATAAGATAGTGAGCAGTAAGTGTGCTCTAGGCTAGGGTACAAGAGGCCATGAGCTCCTCATCTCTGT